AAAAAAAAAAAAAAAAAAAATGGCCCTGCTGGCATGGCTCAGAGACTGAGCATTGCCCTATGATCCAGGAGATAGTGGTTCAATTCTGGATCAGGGCACATGTCCCAGTTGTGGGTTTGATCCCCAGGAGGGGGTGTGCAGGAGGCAGCTGATCAATGACTCTCATCACAGATGTTTCTATCTCTCTCTCCCTCTCCCTTCCTCTCTCTGAAGTCAATAAGAACATTAAAAAAAAAACAAAAAAAACGCACAGAGAAACTAAATAACTGAACCAAAGCATAGAGCTAGCAAGTAGTGGCTCCATTATACTAAATTACCCAAGCTGTTTCACATGGTATCATTAATAACACTGGTCCCTTAAGAAATACTTAGTGAACATCACGGGAAAATACATTTGGCGACCTAACTATGAATGACTCCCCTTCTTAGTGAACTTTAGGGAGGAACATAACAAACAACTGAAGAAGTTATATAAGGTGGCCATAAATGTTTTATATTCTACACACTACACTGCCTATTGCTTAGGAAGCACTCTCCAGGTCAATTGTTTCACAGGTGTTACAAGAAAATAAAAGTCATAGCCTTAGGAAAAGCACAAAAGTGTAATTGGTTTGAAGATGGGAGAGAAGTGCTTTTACAGACTGTGCAGATTAAAAATGGCCAAAAACTCTTTGACATCTCTCCCACCGAGAGGTAGTCTATGAACCTTCCCCTTGAATTTGGGTGGGCTTATTAATGATGAAAATTACAATGTGAAAGGAAACCCAACAAGATAACCAAAAAGCAATCACATCTTCACATATTCAAAGCAACACAGCAAGTTTCTATACTATTTCACTTCTCAATACTGTATTTCGAAAAGTGCTAGTAATATAACATATCAGTAGTAAAAAACATCAATCCAGCATCTAGAAAATGAATCTAAATCACACTATATGCAGGCAAGCTTTTATTTTATTTTTATTTTTTTAAAATATATCTTTATTGATTTCAGAGAGAGGAAGGGAGAGGAAGAGAAAGAGATAGAAACATCAATGATGAGAGAGTCGTCACTGATCGGCTGCCTCCTGCACATCCCCAACTGGGGATCAAGCCTGCAGCCAGGGCATGTGCCCTGACCGGGAATCGAACCTCAATCTCCTGGATCCTAGGTCGATCGATGATCAACCGCTGAGCCACGCCTGGCCAGGCCAAACTTTTAAATTAGCATTTTATTAGTACTAACAACTGTCCATATTCTACTCTGAAGAACCAGTGTCGTAATACACTGAATTTGAGTAGTGAATATTTTAATTTAAATCTAAAAATGGAATATACAATATTTTGGGCATTCAAAGCATTTCAAACTAATGAATGAAATCACAATGTGAACAACACACATACAGCTAGGATTCTATTCGGCTTCCCATCCTTACTTCGAGTATCTAAAGAAATTTTTTTTCTTTGAAATTTTAAACATTACTTATTAAAATTCTATAATCTATCATATTTTTGTCTAAAAGATACACTCAAAAGTATTTCTTTCACCTCAAATAATCCCTTTTACGTTCAAAAGGCCCTGAGGTAATGTGCTTGGCATGCTAAACATCATCAAGAAGGCTAGTATGACTAAAACTGAGTGAGAGAAAAAGAAAATAAATAAGCTAAAATTAAAGAGGTAGCCAAGGGCCAAATTTTGTTGGGTCTTGTAGGCCATGATAAAGCTTTGGATTAAATTCTGAGTGTGATATGAAGGCACCTGGAGGTTCTAAGCAAGACTGACAATACTCATTATTTTTAGAAGGGTTATGCTGCTAAAATCAGAGCAGGAAGTTAAGAGTATAAAAAGAGACACCACTCATCATGCTACTGCAACAAACCAGATATTAAGTATGATGGCTTGGATCAGACTATTAGTATAGGACATGGTGAAAAGTACTAGTCAGATTCAGGATACAGGAAAGTGACAGAATTTGAAGACAGAATGAATATGGTCGGTGTGGCCCAGTGGTTAGAATGTCAGCTCTCACACCAAAGGGTCTAGAGTTCGATTCCTGGTCAAGGGCACATACCTGAGTTGCATGTTAGATCCCCAGCCCCGGTTGGGGTACGTGTGGGAGGCAACCAATCAATGTGTCTCTTTCACATCGATGTTCCTCTCTCTCTCTCTCTCTCTCTCTGTTTCTCCTTCCCTCCCTTCTACTCTCTAAAAACATCAACAGAAAAAATACGCTCAGGTGAGGATTAACAAACCAAAAAAAAAAATAGAGAAGTCAAGGATGGCTTGATCAGCTGCCATGAGCAACTCAGCAAATAGCACTGCCATTTACTGAGACAAGAATCAGTTTGGGAGGAGCAATTTACACAGGACAAAGGAATCAGTTTTATGTATATCAAGAGATGAAATTAATGGGTAGAGTGCAATTACTATTATGTCCACCCAGATTTCCTGACCTAGCTTGCAGTTTAATTAGCAATAATTTGCTGATTACCTGTAAGAAGTTAAAAAGGATTTTGTGAACTAGTCTGCAAAGCCCAACATCACTTACATTTTCTTCCTTGAAGAAAGTGTTTCAAGGTCAAATAACTTTCTTTAAAAATGAATTGATGAACTACAACTCAATCATAAACAGAACTTGGATAGTCACATAAACTTTATATGCAACATTTTAAGCTATTTTACTTGCCATTCAATGGAGGTATCAATATAAATGTTATTACCTATGAAGTATCATTTCATTTTCTTGATACAGTTCACTCATTACTTTAAGTTTGTGCTGAAGCTTTTGATTCTCATTTTCAAGATGTTCATTTTCTGGCTGCAAAGCTGCTTGTTCAGTCTGGATATTTTTAATACACTCTATAGAAAAATTTTAAAAGTCACAATTAAAGGAGTAAATATTTTGAGTTGCATATTAACATTTCATACAGATAAAAATAATTAATTATTAATAAACTAAATTCTTTCCAACAACAACAGAAAATCTGTAAGGTATTTTTAAATATACACCTGTTTACGTAAGCTTTAAACCACTGCCAAGAACAGTCACTTAACAGACATTAATGATGGATGTTATCTTTATTAAAATTGGATCATCCCTATTAAAAAAAAACAATAAACCAATACTTAAATCTTCATTGTATCTTTGTACTTCTATTGTAACTATTTTCTTCCAAATATTCTCTATCTTAACATAGCACTGATTAACAAAGATTAACAAAGAGGGCAAGCAGTTTAGAAAAAAACCTTCATGTTATGAACAGAGATCAACTGTAGGAATTTATCTTTCATGATCCATTAAAAAAAGGAAGTTAGATTTGGAAGAAGGGTACAGGCAGACAGTCTCCAAATACTAGTTTTGGAAAATAATAAAGATTTGCCAAGCAATTGTATTAAGGGATGGGGTAACTTGTGAGCAAATTCCTTGGTATTCTGGCACTTAAAAGTTCCACACTGAGAGTCTGTTAAAATACTGAAATGCAGCTTCCTTGAACGTAGGCTCCCTACCTTTTCCTCCAGTGACTCTCCCATGGCTTTTAGTACTATGCATTACATATAACAAAACTTTATTTTTAAGTTAATATTACTTTTCAAAATCTAAAAATAATCCAACTACCAATACTATGTGAATGAGGCTATGATCTTTTGATGTTTTTTTAAATAATCTGTACCTCTGGTAGTTCAACCTTCTTTTATTTTCTAAAATTTATTTCAGGAGAGAAAAAAATCCCAATTACTGGGAGAGTAAATGGCTGACACTAGGTGGTTCAACATTTTCAAAAAATGTTTTATTATAAATACAATTCACTTATTGCAGAAATTTTTGAAAATACAGATAAGTAAAAAGACAAATCTATCCATAATTCCATATTCAAAGATAATCATTGTTGATAGTTGAGTATGTCCTTCTATTATTTTTTTATGCAAATGGTTATGGTGAAATTATTATTTTTTGTAAATAAAATGGGATGTGGCTTGTATCAACTATTTAAGAAAAATAAATAAAAATGTTTCAATAAAAAAAAGCTTCTGTTCTACAAGTCTAATATCACTCATTCATGTGCTGATATACTATTGTTTACTATAGAAAACGATACTATAAACATCTGTAAAATATACCACTGCTGAAGGTCAATTTTGCAGTTAACAAAGTTTTTTAAAGTTTTAATTTGCTACTTTTTAATATCTCAAACCATCACACACACGTAACACTGAAATTCAAAGGTATGTATGGTTTTATATGTTTTTTTAAATAATTTCATTATTTTAATTTTATATAAACGGAGAAAACTGACAAAGCTTTACCAACAACAAAAACTCAGGACTAATTTTTCACAAATAAGAAACAAAAGTAAAAAAAACAACAAAAAAACCCCAGCTCAGCCAGCCTGGCTCAGTGGTTGAACATCGACCTATGATCCAGGAAATCAAGGTTCGATTCCGGGTCAGGACACATGCCCAGGTTTCGGGCTCGATCCCCAGCAGGGGGTGTGCAGGAGGGAGCCAATCAATGACTCTCTCATCATTGATGTTTCTCTCTCTCTCTCTCTCCTTCTACCTTCCTCTCTCTGAAATCAGTAAAAAAAATTTAAAAAAAAACAACAATCAAATTGGATCTTCCCATAATTCATTCAATTCATGGTACCATTTTCTGTAAGGAGATGTATTTATTTAAAAAAACGTTAAAAGTATGTAGATTACCTACCTGTAAGATCTTCCTTTGTTTTATCTACTTCAGTTAATTGAGTGTATATTTGGTTTCTTTCTCCTTCTAAGGTTTTTAAAGAAGCCTTTAACTTCAAAGAACAGGAGAAGGAAAAAAGCAACATTAATCAGGTATACAAAAAAAACCCCAATATACCATCCCAGCCTTTTGAAGCTATTATCACTTTGATGAAATTATCGCCTAGAATGTACTAACAATGCAGCTTCCATCTTAGAAGGTTAGGAAAGTCATCAATAGTTGTAAATTGCCCAGCCAGTGTGGCTCAGAGGTTGAGCATCAACCCATGAGCCAAGAGGTCACTGGTTCAATTCCTGGTCAGGGCACATGCCCGGGTTGCCGGCTTGATCCCCAGTAGGGGGCATGCAGGAGGAAGCTGATCAATGACTCTCTCATTGATGCTTCGCTCTCTCTCTCTCTCCCTCTCCCTTCCTTTCTCTGAATTCAATAAAAACATATTTTTAAAAAGACTCTATTTAAAAATAATAATTATATATATAAATAAAAATTCAATAAAAACATTTTTTTTTTAAATAGTTGTGAATTTCAGAACAGGGAATGAGAAGATCAGTGATGAATGCTTAAACCGTGGCTACTTTCATTCTGTTTACTTTCAACACATAAGGGTTTTTTTATTTTTATTTATTGATTTGAGAGACAGCAAGAAAGAGAGGGAGGGAAGGGGGGGAGAGAGAGAGAGAAAATGAGAGAAACATCAATTTGTTGTTCCACTTATTAATATATTCATTGGTTGATTCTTATATGTGTCCTGACAGGGGATCAAACCACAACCTTGGCACATCAGAATGATGCTCCATCCAACAGAGCTACATACATTTTGATTAAAGTAATCTTCAAACTATATTACCACGACTTCTCACAGTTCAGCAAAGATGAGGATACCACTACTAGGATGGAAAAGAGATGGGATAAACCAGAAGAAAATGAAACTAGTATTTACTTCTCAAAATAGAATACTGGGTAATAGAGATAGGAAAATACTGAGACCAGAGGAAGGAAAATGCTGAAAGAGAAATGAGAGAAAATAGAATGAACATTTTTAATATATTCCTTATCCAAAAGAAATGAATGCAGACCTTGAAAATTTTTGTTATAATAAATTCTAAAAGTTAACAATATGAATTTCTAGCCTGGCCAACGTGGCTCAGCAGTTGAGCATTGACCTATGATCCAGGAGATCACAGTTCAATTCCAAATGAGCACATGCCCAGGTTGTGGGCTCAGCCCCCAGTAGGGGGCATGCAGGGGGCAGCCAATCAATGACTCTCTCAGCATTGATGTTTCTATTTCTCTCTCCCTCTCCCTTCCTCTCTCTCTGAAATCAATAAAAATATATTTAAAAAACTATGAATTTCTAAAGTTATGAAAAAGAAAAAAGCAATTGATGAAGATAATTCTGACCACTACTGAAAATTCTTATCATTTATATGTTAACTATAAAATGGACTTTTAAAATAGTTACTAAAGATATGTGGATTTATTCCATTTTTTTAAATATATATTTATATAGTAATGCAAACCTTAGCAGCATGAATCAGCTTCTTCAAAGCTCCTTTTGGTTCATTATCTATTATAAAACACAAAAACATAACAGTAAATTAGGAAAGAAAATGCAATGCCACAGAAGACATCCAAATAATTTTATTAATTCACTCAACTAGAGTCATATAATCCCTCTTCTTGCTACAATAATGAATTTGGTATAAGGCGGAATGGCCTTGGACCTGCTGCAAGGAAGTTAAATGATAAAAGCACTAGTAGTCCCATAATATCAATTAACAAGGTTCTTCACCATTAACTCCAAGAACAGAGTTATAACAAGGATTTAGCATTCACCTAAATACAGTCCCACAGTCTTAACTATTCTTGGATTCCTTCAACACACAAAATATGAGTGAAATTGTACTCCAAACTAAAATAACATTAAACAAGCGTGAGTTTTCTCATTAGCAAAAGATTTCTTTCTTACAAAATAAAGCAGAAGTGAAAAAGTACAAACAAAACTGAACTCTTTTACTTTGGAAATGTAATTTTCCTCCAACGCATTAATGTGATCACCCAAGGATTTTTTTAAAAAATCATACCTTCTCCTTAATAAATTTGTTAATTTATACAAGGGTAAAGGGAGAGAAAAGAGAAAGGACACAAAGCCAGAAGAACTATCATTAGGGGAAACTAGGTGAAAGATACATAAGATCTCTCTGTACTCCTTTGCAACTTTTTCTGAATCTATTACTATGTAAAAAAAAAAAAAAAAAAATTTAAGCCAAAGGAATTAAATGAGAATACAGTGAGTAGCTGGTGAACATAACTTTTTCCTGAGTTTACAGACTGAAACCAACGACAGCAATAACAATTCAGGATGGCCAAGAATAAAGTATTATAACCATCTTAACTATCTAAATAAAGAAAAAAGGGAAAAAAAGTATCCTGAGGTATTTGCTTATAGAACACTCATTTTTCAAACTATTTACCCAACCACTTGATTAGCACAGGGGAAAAAGGGCACTGAAATGATTATGAAGCAATGTGAAAATTGTTACGACAATATGTACAATATATAAAAGAAACAGAAAGGAAGGAGGCTGCAAGTCTGTCTGAGGAGTTTGAGAAAGATTTAGTGAAAGGGCAGTATTCTAGCTGAAGGTTAATAATAAGAGATGGTGAGAAAGGGACAGAGTATTAGACAAAGATGGACAAGATGGAGCAAAGCACAAATGTATAAAGAACATGATGCATATGGGGGACTAAAAGGAAATACAAGAGCTAGTCATTTTTAGCAAGAGAATATGTCATTTAATACCTAAGACTGCACCATTTTCTGAATCGGTCTGCATTTCCAATTCCAAGTTATCATCCATCAAGTCTTCTCCAAGCACAGCAGCCCAATCTTGCATCTTTAGCAAGCGTTCAGTCAGGGACTTAACATTTAGCAAAGGGAGGAAAAAAAGAGAGGGTGATACTTCATGCTAATGATTTACAACTTCTGAATGTACACTTATAGTTTAAAAATCAATGCACATAAATAACAGTACATGAGCTCTTATTCTCCAGCTGGTATTGAGATACATAAACACTCTGAAAAACCTAGTATTTATTGACTATTAACTTCTGAACATTAAAAACAAAAACTGGTTATTCCTAAATCAAATACAATTCTTGATAATGGCCCATTTTTGCTAAATATATCACATGACTATAAAGTGACAAAACATTTTCTTATATACATGACATTTCTCACATGCCACAAATAAGACTGGCCATTAATGTGAGAGTAAATTTTGTGTGAAGTTGAACAAATCTGCAAGTGAGATACATGATATATGAAAAGATCAGATTTTAGAGATTCAATTTTTTAGCTGGGGAGTTCAATTGACATAAAGGGGGAAAAAATTATTAGAGGGAATCTGAGTTGGAGATTCAATTTTTTAGCTGGGGAGTTCAATTGACATAAAGGGGAAAAAAATTATTAGAGGGAATCTGAGTTGGAGTATGAGAGGTTTTCCAACAATACTTTTTGCATTTTCTTGAAAGAAGATTTTCTAGCATTATAAATAATAAAATGACTGTGCCATGAATTTCTGTGGAAGGACCCACCTAAAAACCCATTCTGCCCTATAATTTACACGTTTTGATCAACTTGAGAGTTCCAAGCACAAATAACATGGCTTATATCTTTAAATAGAGTTTGAGATTAGCATCTCATTTTTGTTGTTTTGTTTTGTTTTGTTTCATTCTTGTTTTGCTCAGGAAGAATTCCAAGTCCTTTAGTAGAGCAAATTTGGGGGGGGGGG